GCCATCCCCTGCCACAGGCCTGCCTCTTCTGGCAGCCCATCGGGATGATCCACGACAGCGACCCTGAGAATCGGCAACCAAAGAGACAGGCAAGAGCCAGGAAGAGGGAGACTGCCCGCTTTCGACTTCCATCTCGAACTCGATACCTCTACTCACCTAGCTGTAGCCCAGGGCCGTCGCGTCTTGACGGAATGAACCAACTCCTTCAGTCATCTTCATTCTTTCCTCTCAACGGGCGAATGGGCTTTCTCTCATGGCCCGGTACTCCCCAAGAGACTGCAACAACAATCAGATGACAAGCTGAAGTGGCGGCGGTGTGATACACATTGATTGATCGATATTTCTTCCACGTCGCCTACTCGCTGTCACTTTATCCACGGAACGCCAGACTCATCAATCACATATTCTAGGCCTCACTTGGACATTGCTCTTACGGTAGATTTTCCGGCCCGAACAAACAGACGACTCCAGGACCGCCACAGGACGCGGTACCCGACAGCTGTGCACCCGAGTTGCTGTTGGTGCCCAGCCGCAGCGGCCATCAAGTCCCGACCCGTCCCGTCTGCACAGCTACGAGAAGCAGAGGCATATCCACACGTTTATCCATCATCGCATAGAAAAGCAGAGATAGCCGCTCGGCTGCTCGGTTGCCCTGACAGAAAGACTATTGCTTCGACTACCTGTACCTGCGGCATCGGTATTCTGACTTTCCCCCCGCACATCTCCAAGAAAACAAAAAGGCATCGATCTAGATGTCTTTTTCTTACCTGGCTGCCGATTCAGCAGCAGCCATGGCCTCGCACGAGAACAGTCATGCGTCGCCCGCCGTGAACCCTCTCAGTTTCTTGGGCATGCCGTCAGAGATTCAAAAGGACATCGTCAAGCACTGTTGCCAGCCAGACCTCATCTGTCTCGCCCTTGTCTCCAAACACTGCCGAGAACTTGCCGCTTCCCAGCTGTATCGCCAGTTCCACATCGTTTTCCCGGATGAGGATGACCCGTCATTCGACTCCCCCATTGATGGTCTGGCCGCCGGGCTGGATACCTTCGTGACCAGCAATTACGACTATGCGCAACATCTCAGAGATCTTTCACTCGACACCCTTAGCGCCGGTAGCAAGGGGGAAGCCGCTTATAAGCCCTACCTGTTGCAGAATAGCTGCGGGAAGTTTATGAACACTCTTCTGCTACTCGCTCTGCGCAAAGCAAATAAGCTCGAGACTTTCAAGTACGCCCATCCTGTTATGCCCAGTTCTACACGTACCCCGTTACCAGAACGCCTGTGCTAACCTTTGGTGTCTCTACCAGATGGAATATCCGCGTCGAGCTGAGCCGTCCTGTATACGCCGTGCTACATGACATCCGAACCATCGCCCACGTACACATACGCATGCAGGCAGGCCCGTCCTTGTATGAAAAGCCGCCTCCGCTCCCTCATGCTATTCACGCACCGCCGTCCATTGCTCCCGGCCTGCCGCCGGTACACTGGATGCCTCAAGGCACTCATCCGCCCCCGGTTCCTCCGCAGCAGGGTATGGACTTTGACTTACAGATAACGACCGCTAATTCGAACTTTGTAAACGCTCATCCTGTCTATCTTGCTCATAACTCACAGCCCCCTCATCCACATGCTTTCGCTCAACAACAACATCCTCATCTACAGGCTTTCCCTCAGCAGCCTCCCCATCATCATCAGCCTCCCGCTCCCAAGCCTCCCTCCAAACCAAAAGCGCAGAAGCGACCTCAGGTCCTCACAGAACCTCCAACCTTATCAGGATTCAGAAACCTCAAGAGCCTCGCCGTTCTCGATATCGATAATCTAGATATTGTGACAGAAATCAAGACCTGTGTTAGGAACTCGGCCGGGACCTTGACCAAGCTGAAACTGTCTTTTTCACATCTCCTCGCATCACAGGCTCGGAAGCCACCGGCTCCCGAAGTCGTTACGGACGATAGTGATGAGGAGGAATCCGTCTGGTCCACTCCTGGCTCGAGCCCGAGTCCGCAATCGAGTAATGCGGTCGAGAGCACCGGAGCGAAGGCACAGCGGGCGCAGGAGGAGAAAAAGACACAGGAGTCCGTTTTGGGGCGCATCTTCGATGTCGAGCACTTTGTTGTTAAGAAACCACAGAAGGACGTCAAGGCAAAAGAAAAGACATCAGCGGAGGCAGTGAACGCGGATCCTGGCCAAATATTCATCCAAAATGTAATGAAAGCGGCAGAGCTTTTGATGATGGAGAAGGATGACTTACGACGCGAGGCTCTCGATATCATCGAAACTGCCGCCAGTACTTATGTCACTTCGCTAAAGACAAAGCAGCCTGGCGCTACGTCTGCGAGTTCCGAATCTCAGTCTGCTCAGACCAAGGTCGAGGCAAAAGGTGGATCGAGTACAGCGGAATTGGGAACTGGTCCCATGAATTCTTCTGTCCCTGCCAGAAACAAGAAAACGGATGATGAATTCACCCCGGAAGACATCAACATTGAAGAGCCTGAGGGAGAACTCGAACTCGAACCGGGATCCCCAGGTCCCAAAACAGAGGACACAAAGACTGTACTAGAGTTATCACCTTCGCAAACTCTGTCGTCGTTGGTAGCAGGCGGCCTTGACCCCGCTTCTGTCAAGAAGGCCGTGGCCAACTTGGTAGCACAAAAGGTTAACTATCAGACTTTGATCAAGAAACTTGAGATGCATGAGGCACGAGCTAACGACATTCGCAAGGAAACCGAAGAACTGCGCGAGCAAGATGGGCCTGTCGATTGCAAACGCATCGCTAGAACCGAGAAAGAGATTACAAAGCTAAGCAACGGAGTCGAACTAGTTAGGAGCGAACTCAACGTGGTCGAGGCTGAGGTAGCCGATTCGCAAAAGGAGATTTATGGTCTTCGCAACTCGGATACCGCTGAGTCCCAGCATCAGCGGCGGAGTGAATATACGAGAGCTACTCGTGGATTGCCTCTTGAGTCACTCAGCATCTATCTGATCCCGGCAAAGGCGTCGTTCTTCTCCAAGGCCATTGATATTCGGATGCTTACTCGCATCACTCTCCTTAATGTTGGGCCACAAGCACCAATTTGGGCTTACTTCAAGAGCCAGAATGAGGAAAACCCCCTCCCGCTTTGCAAAATCTTCACCGACAACGTCACGACAACTTTCTTGCAATTTGTTTCCCAACTAAATCAGGTAACCGAGCTGTTCTTGCTCGAGAGAGAAGCTAAATACAAGCCCGAGAGCTTCGCTTCCAAGACCCAAACCACCATTGACGATATTCGGCGATTGGCCCTCACAAAGCACATGGCTAGTCTGCGGAGGCTCATGATCAAGAACTTGGCCAGTGCGGCGTGGGATATGAACACCAAAACCATCATGCTATTGTGCAAGCGTGGCAAGAATGTCGAGGAGCTTGCCTGCAACATGAGTATGCGGTGTTTGGTAAGTGCCCCTAGGACTGACCGAATCTATCAGAACAGTTCACTAACCTCGGTGCCTCAACAGCATGTCTTCAACCAGAACGCGCGCTTGCTCGGGAACCTTCGCGCTCTTCACATACCTATCCTCCGTTGCGATGACCCGTGTCCCTCTCTACCGATGGAGGGCAAGAAATTTCTGATCGATAACCTCTCGCAGTTTCCCTTGACGAAGCTAGAATGGATTTCCATTAATGATGGCGACTGCGTGGATCATGTCAAGTTCAACAAGCCGCAATCGGTGGAAGAGAGGAAGAGAAGAATGGCGGCCAAAGAGGCCAAGGGCAAGTCAAAGGCCACGGTGGTTACCGCCAGTAATGGAACATCGAGCAATACAACCCAAAACCCGAACTTTTCTCCCCCGGAAACCTGGGATGATGAGAGTAGTACCGACGAGTGGCATGGAGATGGCGAGTTGACATCTTCGTCGAGCAACTTTCTGGTGCAGTTGGGGACTATGCGCTTCTACGATGTGTGGGGGGTGAGGATCTTCAAGAAGGAGGTTTTCAGTGGCCGTCTTTGAGTTCCAAACATGACGCGCAATTATTTTACTTGATGCCAGCGGAATCGGGGAATATGATAATGAGGGAAATGAAGGAATGATCAATAGCGATTTGTATTTTTACTTTCTGATTTCGTCCAATGAACGTGGCCGACAGGACCTCTGGAACCAGCTGGAGCTTGGGTGTCGAAGCGGTGGTTGGATGGTGATGGTTGCTTTTTAGACATCTGAAGAGGGCCTTTCAGCGTTCGTGTCGGGGAGAAGAGGAAGAACAACAGAAGAGATGAAGTGTAATATACCCAGTAGTTTTTTTCTGCTTGCATACATAAGGCACAATCAGCAATCCACAGTTCCCGCCAGTACTGGTTTGTCTGTTGGCTCAAGACCTCGCGTCAACTTTCTTATACGTTCAGATATCCGACTGATGCGTAATTTCACCTTTGAAACGCCATTTCTAATATTCAGTTTGTTATATCAATTCCTCTCGATGCGTTCATGATCCGTCCTCGGGCATTACTGTATCGTTTGTCATTTTTTATAACCGTTGAACTTCAGTAGGGGTAGTGCCTGCCATTTTCATCAACGCAACTGAAATGTAGGTAGGTTGGATGGTGCGATCTGCTGAGTTTCCAAGCCATCAGACCTTGTGATGAGTTGTTGACGTTCATGACAATTCTGACCAACCAGCGAAACAGGAAAGAGCCCTCGCACTCGTCATCCAGGTTTGACCCAGTTCTTGCCAATGGAAGCAGGTGCATGTAGAGCCATGGAACACTCAATTTACAAGTGATATTTTTGCTCGCCTACTTGCTTAACTACTCGCAATCATGTTGTTTTCTTTACCCTCCCATCCCCCATCACGATCCGTATCATCATATCTTTACTTCTTCCCCCCAGTATTCACTAACATCCCGCCCGCGAATTCACTGATGCCCCATACAAAGCAAGACCACTAGGCTTTTGGCAGAGCTCAGATAGTTCTGTTGGGTACATCTCTCCGTCCAGAGAGGTGTCAGTGGGCAGGCAGATTATGGCTTCCCACAACCATCACGTATCACACTCATGCCAACCGCCGCCATTAGGCCTCGACGGTGCCATGCCCTGGCCAGGCCCCATCTACAGACAACCGGCCACCTGTCCCCAGTCGCCGGCCCAGCCCACTCATACCAGAAAGGCAGCGTCGGTGAAAAGTTCGGGATCGTCTATCAGCCGTGGTCGGAAGAACATCGCTGCCTCGGTTAAAGAATTCTTTCACGGTTTGAGGCCGAGCAACTGTCCCGAACAAGGTTTCACGCTCCGGCATCATGAGCATGATCATGGGTATCCGACGATTGATGAGATCTTGACGGGGGAGCGAAACACTTCGACTGCTATGCAGCCGCGTACCATCAATGCTCAGAGATTCACCACACCCAGGCGGAAGAGTGTAGATTCTGATCCTGGTGAGGCCGAAACTCGGCATCACAACTCGAGTACACCTGATACAATTGTGTCTGAAGCTTGGAATATTCCCATGTTACTTCCTCGAAGAGATTCGAATATCAGTGGCAAGTCGAGGGTTAAAGGTACGTCAACATCCAGCATCTCACAGAGACTGAAGAAGCACCACCACGGCTAATCCAACTAAGCAACCCATATCCCGGCTAGGAAGATCACATCGAGGTTGGATACGAAATCGGATGACGGCCCTAAGGCCACTCATTATCGTGGCGACAACCAAATTTCATCACTCGATGGGACTTGGGCCAACATGGGGGAACGCCGAACGAAAAGCGGAAATGTCCCTACCTTTTCCATGCCATCGCGGAAACCAGTGCCAACCCAAACCGGCAGTTATCTTCCCATATCGTCTCAAGCTCCTCATGTAAGCACTGCTGATTCCCACAACGTTATGTCATCGGCCGTGCCGGGCTATAACAGAGCTCGCTCACTGTTCTTGGAAAAGCAAGAAGCCCGGCGCCAGCGCCGCATTCTGAGAGAAGCCGGTGACTACCTCGGCGTGACAGGGGCGAACCCTTACACAGGAATGTTGGACAATATCACGCCCAGAACGAGTATAGACATGACGGAGTTTCGTCACGGTTTTCCCCAATCATCCCCCAAGGGATCGCCACGGGGTGAAGAAAAGGGGCGCGGTACTAGGAAACGGACGGGTCCTCGGCAGCCGTCAAAACTCAGCAAAGAATCGGAACAATGGTCATCTGCAGCTTCACCAAACCTTAGCCCAATCGTTCAAAGCCAGAGCCCAAGCAACAAGAGTGTAGAACCTGCTCAAACGGGGGAGTCAGCTACCACCAGTCACACTTCAAAGTCTTTTTTAGGGATGGAGACAATGGCGGTTATGGTACCGTCAGGAAGAAGCCTCGCTTCAGCGACCTCATTCCCGTCCAACACGAAATCTCTCAGGTTACGTTTCCATCCACTGATTCCCCGGAGACTGGGCCCTGGTCCGATGGACACCGGTTTCGTCCCGGGCCCGACTGGGATAAAGAAGCCCTTCTCCAGGATCCCAGTGCCAGATCGCTGCCCAGTCTCGCGCAAGATGTTGCCAGGAACCCCTATGGCGCCCGTCCCCAACAGCGGCGAGGTCACTTACCCACATTTGGACCTCACGAACCTGAACCCAGCCTGCCAATGGGCAAATATGCTGATCGAGGATCTGAGTGGCCTGGAGCGCAGTATCCGGGACAGCACCAGAGAAGCCAAGGCATGGGCGAGTTCCATAGCCCAGGACATCAGTGGGTTGGGGCAGGCGCTCCACCTTCCACAACCCCAATCTGCTTGCACACCCATCATCACCATTACTGGCTGCGAGTCCAGTCCTCGCCGTCAGCTCCCCTCCGTCATAAAGGAAATCTGCCCCAAAGGACCCGAAGCCAAGGCCCCTCAAAAGGCAAGAAAGACGTCGGGAAAGAAAGCAGTCAAGACGATTCAGAAGACGTCAGAATCCGTAACCGTATCGTCGTCACACCAGACATCGTCCCTGTCGCCGAGCGCCGTACCCAAGAACGGCTGTTCGACGCCGCTGGATTCCCCTCCCAGCATGCAACCGAACGTATCGCCGAAACTCGCAAGACCAGATCTCCATCATCACCACAGCTGGACTGCATCACTGACCGCGGACCGGGTTGCAGAGATGGCAGCAGAAGATCTGGCACGTGCTTCCCAGGACGAGTTGCCAAAAGCAGCCAGCGTTACTACATCGTCAACCCAAGAGACAATGCGCACGGAGGACTAGGCGAAAACCTCCGGGCGCGTGTCGACGCCTCGTCCTCAGGAACAGCCGGGCTGGGAGATGCGCAAGACGATGAGAAAGGAAGCGGAAATCCAAGACCCAACAAACGGAAAGAGACGGTCACCTCTCATGTCCACTTATACGCGCCGGCCAAGTCTGACGAAGTCGAAGAGCTGGTCGTCGAAGAACCAGAATCTGGCCGATATCAAAAGTTTGATGCAGGCGATGGTGCAGGGGGCAGCGCGGGCAGCGTTTACGCAACACCCAGCGAACCAAAGAACGGGGTCGGAAGGGATCCCGACATCGGCGTCAGGATCGGACACGGCATCAACCACGGGACAGGCCATGACTGGAGACAGGAAAGCTGGGGAAGCAACGGCAGCGGCCGAGTTGGGAACAAGTCCAATAACGTCATTACCAGAACAAAGGAACAAGCGTCACAAGCGTCACAAGCTGAAGGACAGCGCCGGCCACGGCGGCGATGACAACGACGGTCGTTCCAGAAGCCAAGACTCTCAGTCTAAAGTCAGTGAACCCCAGACGTGCCAAGGAGATGGGGCGGCGGCTAGTGACGATCTGTATCGGCTTTTCCCAGGCTTGGCACTCCCTGTCAGGTCGATGGTGGCAGCGGGATCAGGAGGGCCGCCCTTCGAGGTGCCGGTCGGGGTCCGGATCGTGGTGTCAGTAGTGGTTACCTTTGTAGCGCAGTTTGTCTGTGCGTACTGGGCCTTTGTGCGGCCGGTGTTTCATCTCGACTCGCCGCTTCACAAGAGGTACGCACGGGGACAGGCAACGCTGGGAGACGTGGTGGTTTATGTCTTTGCGCTGATGTTTGTCTTTTTTGCGGGCGCGGCTGTGGTGTGGGTGATCAGGGGCACGGTTCTTGTGTGCCGTTTGGTCAGGGCGATTATCGGAGGATTGGCAATGTTGGCGGGTTTGTGAGTGATCACAAGATTGACCGTGTTTGATGGTTGAGGATTCTCGTTTGTGGAGACTTTGTTTGAATGGGTGGATCGTATGGTACGAGTGCGGTGGTACATACTTGAAGCTTCACTTCCAGACGATAGGCACGTTGACATGGGAAGGATGAAGAAGAAGAGATTGTTGCAGTAAGCAGTGCTGTCATCACTATCAAGTATCGCCTAATTGCGTTTCTCAAACTCCGAAAATATGGTTCAGGAAACACCAGGCAGCTTCGGAGTTTGTTGTTTGTACAATGGATATTCTTACGTATCAAGTTGCCCAAGGAGGATCCGTACCTGAAATGAGGGTTGAAGGCGGTGTTGGAAATATTCTCTTATGAATCACAAGGATACAAAGGTGATGGTGGAGCGGGAACGAATTGGGTTCTGCCATGGACCGTGGTGGGACATCAAGGTACTCGGCGAGAGGTGTACCGAAGACCGGACCTGATACTTGCAAACAGCAAGGGGCAGAACATTGGATGGAAGATTTTACCTAGACTGCTAGCTGAGGAAATATCATTACTCTCAGCACAATGGACATTGGTCATAAGATGATCTACAGCAACATTGTCTTGCGTATTCTCTCTTGTTCGAATGCCTTCAGTGTCAAACCGCTCTTCTCTCCGGACCCTCCACCGGCCATGGTTCGGGGATTTCATTGTGAGAGAAACCCCCGCCGTGTGGCCTCCACTGCAAACGCCCCGTAGCCGTGCGTAGTGGCCGTCGCCCAAGCCGTCGCATGCCGCAGCGTCATGGATCAACCTCCAGGATGGGCCGGTCTCGACGTGGCAGCAGTTGAGGCCGAGATCGGGAAGAACCAATGGCGGCGGTCGTGGTTGTCACAGCGTCTGGCAGTGCGTACCTGGGCGGGTGGAACTGGCCAAGTGGAATCGTGCGCGCGGCCAATGGGCATCATGTCTTTAGAAATTCCAGTGGCCACCCAGCCCACCCCGCATTCCGTGAACCGGAGCTCGATGCTGTCCTCCGAATATCGGCGGGCCGCCCCAGCCCTGCCGTCACTGTCGTCTCTTGCCCAGTGCTTCGTATCGCAGGCGGATTTGCTACAAGACTGGACGAAATCGAGCCACGAGCGGATCGCCAGGCGGCCAGGGAGACAGAAAGATTGGTTTGACTTTAGGTGTTTGTACATAGAATAGATTGATGTATATATGCGAATGGGGAATCGTAGTCATCGGTCCCAACCTCTTGACACGGGCAAAACTTAAAAAGGTCCGGTGTCTGCCCGCTTTCGCTTTCTTGCCACGGCCGTCTCAGTCTCACCTCCTTTCCCGCTTTTGCCAACTTTCTCCCCAGGAATCTTTCTACATCCCAACACTTACCCTACTTTATACCCGGGATTATCAAGCCTTGCCATCGTTGTGTCTTGTTGATCGAGAACCGAAACCAAAAACCGAGAAGGATAACTGCATCGCCGATATACGGTTCCGCCTCCGAGATTTGGTTGAGACATCAAAGCCCCCCAGACCTAGCCGAACCGGAAGCTAGACAACCCCACGCCGGTTTTTCAACCCATCCATACAACAACCTACAGTCCCGACACCAGACCTATTTATTTGCTGTGTGCCGGTTTTCTTCCCAAGACTTCTTTCTTGTTGTCCCCCGATTGTGACAACGTTATATACTTCGCCCTTTCCTTCTCCAACCAACCAACCAACTATTCCCAGCTACCTCACCAGCCAGGGAACCACCGACCTTCACATAACCGCCACCATGCCGTCAGCAGAGAGTACCCCCCGTACCCTTTACGACAAGGTCTTCCAGGCCCATATCGTCGACGAGAAGCTTGACGGTACCATTCTCCTCTACATTGACCGCCACTTGGTCCACGAAGTCACCTCTCCTGTAAGTTGTTTGAGCGCCAGATGCTGAGGGAGCTCCGGTTTCGCAGTCCAGTGCCCAGTACTGACCCCTTGTCAATAGCAAGCTTTTGAGGGCCTCGAGAACGCCGGACGCCAAGTTCGCAGGCCAGACTGCACCCTCGCTACCACCGATCACGTAAGTTTAATGTCACCGCACTGTTTTCTATCCTCGCGTGGGTGCGCATGCAGCGTTTTTGCGGCCATGATACCTTACCCCTTCGCAATCAATGTGTGGGACTGCAAGCTGACCGCGGACCCGCTGTAGAATGTCCCTACCACCTCCAGGAAAGCGCTGAAGGATATCGCCAGCTTCATCAAGGAGGATGATTCGAGGACGCAGTGCGTCACCCTCGAGGAGAACGTCAAGAAGTTCGGCATCACATACTTTGGCCTCAGCGACAAGAGGCAAGGTATCGTCCACGTCATCGGCCCCGAGCAGGGCTTCACCCTTCCCGGCACCACGGTCGTCTGCGGTGACTCCCATACTTCTACCCATGGCGCTTTCGGCGCTCTCGCTTTCGGTATCGGCACCTCCGAGGTCGAGCACGTCCTCGCCACCCAGTGCCTTATCACCAAGCGCAGCAAGAACATGCGGGTTCAGGTCGACGGTGAGCTTGCGCCCGGTGTGAGTTCCAAGGATGTCATCCTCCACGTTATTGGTCAGATCGGTACTGCCGGCGGTACTGGTGCCGTCATCGAGTTCTGCGGCTCCGTCATCCGCAGCCTCAGCATGGAGGCCCGCATGTCCATCTGCAACATGTCGATCGAGGCCGGCGCCAGAGCCGGTATGGTGGCTCCCGATGAGATCACCTTTGAGTATCTCAAGGGCAGGCCCCTTGCCCCCCGGTACGGATCCGAGGAGTGGAACAAGGCCGTCGCCTACTGGAAGTCTCTCGCCTCCGACCCCGATGCCAAGTACGATATTGATGTCTTCATCGACGGCAAGGATATCATCCCCACTGTTACCTGGGGTACCTCCCCCGAGGACGTTGTCCCCATCACCGGTGTTGTTCCCGACCCCGAGACCTTCGCTACCGAGGGCAAGAAGGCTGCTGGCCGTCGCATGATCGAGTACATGGGCCTCGTTCCCGGCACCCCCATGGAGGACATTGAGGTCGACAAGGTCTTCATCGGCTCCTGCACCAACTCCCGTATCGAGGATCTTCGCGCTGCCGCCCAGGTCGTCAAGGGCAAGAAGATCGCCGCCAACATCAAGCGCGCCCTCATCGTCCCCGGCTCCGGTCTCGTCAAGGACCAGGCTGAGGCCGAGGGCCTTGACAAGATCTTCCAGGAGGCCGGTTTCGAGTGGCGCGAGGCTGGTTGCTCCATGTGCCTCGGCATGAACCCCGACATCCTCTCCCCCAAGGAGCGTTGCGCCTCTACCAGCAACCGCAACTTCGAAGGTCGCCAGGGTGCCCAGGGCCGCACCCACCTGATGTCCCCCGTCATGGCCGCCGCCGCCGCCATCGTCGGCAAGCTCGCCGACGTGCGCAAGCTCACCGACTACAAGTCTAGCCCTCATGTCGAGGCCGCCGTCATTCCTGAAACCACCGCCACCGCCAAGGCCCACGCTGATGAGCGCATTGAGGAGGACGATGTCGAGAAGGACAAGCTCGCCGACCAGCCCCAGGACTCCTCTCCCCAAGTCAACACCTCGGTCTCCAAGTCCTCTGCTGGCCTCCCCAAGTTCACCAACCTCAAGGGCATCGCTGCGCCCATGGAGAAGGCGAACATCGACACGGACGCCATCATCCCCAAGCAGTTCCTCAAGACCATCAAGCGCACTGGTCTCGGCTCCGCCCTCTTCTACGAGATGCGTTACAACCCTGACGGCAGCGAGAACCCCAACTTTGTCCTCAACCGCGAGCCGTACCGCTCCGCCAAGATCATCGTCTGCACAGGCGCCAACTTTGGCTGCGGCTCCTCGCGCGAGCACGCCCCTTGGGCGCTCAACGACTTCGGCGTCAAGTCCGTCATCGCCCCTTCCTTCGCCGACATCTTCTTTAACAACTCCTTCAAGAACGGCATGCTGCCCATCCCGCTCAAGGACCAAGCCGCTCTCGAGCGCGTGCACGCCGAGGCCGCGGCCGGCCGCGAGATCGAGATCGATTTGCCCAACCAGCTAATCAAGGACGCTGACGGTAACACCCTCTGCGAGTTCGAGGTCGAGGAGTTCAGGAAGCACTGCCTCGTCAACGGGCTAGATGATATCGGTCTGACGATGCAGATGGAGGATAAGATTGCCGAGTATGAGGCGAAGATGAGCCAGCAGACGCCTTGGTTGGATGGACGCGCGTATCTCAAGAGGAAGGGACAGGGTGGCAAGTTGGTGGCCAAGGCGGTCCCAGTACCGAAGACCAACCGCGGGGAGGAGAAGAAGGAGCCGCTCGAGTGGTAAAGAGTCATATGGCATCATCAACAAAAAGTCAAAGGGTTCCAAAGAAGAGGAAAAAAGGTTAGCGCCGCCATAGAAAGGGAAGCGGCTGGTTGTTAGCGGACGAATGAGTCATGGTGTTTTTTCTTTCTCTTCTTGCTTGGTTATGTCTTGCTTTTCTTACAAACGCTTGATATCACGGTGCTGCGGTTGCGGGTTTTTGAGTTTATCATGGTCTCTTTAACTACGGTCTTGGCGGGGTGGACAGTCATCAACGAATGACTCCACAGTTGTTCTTCTTTTTCAGCTACGTATATATTCATGGCGCATATACATTACCCGGATGGGTTTATTTCCTCATCAGTATAATTTCTTGCAATACATACTTGTTTTAGTGAGAAGTGATCTTCAAGCAGGAAAAACACACGGACATGGGTGGACATCCGATGTGATCGAGAGTTCGGTAAGCTAACGATGAAAATCCGTGGGTGCTTGTAATTATGCCCTAGAGAAAGAAGAACGCCATACTATATGCCCTTCTCAAGTACGTTTTAAAATAATACATCGCCGCCTTTGTTTCAATGATACACAAACTCGCTTCTTTCTTTCAGAGATATGGAATCAGAAAAACCCCGGCCCTTTCCCCCAACAACGCCGTTCGCATAGAACTCCAAATGTTGATGATACATCGTCAAAGGCAGAGAGAAAAACAGCTTAATCCCCCCTTTTACATTTCTCATCCTCTTTTCAATCTTCTAAACTCCCCGACTAAACCCTTCTCGTAGGAAACCTCTCATGCGCCCACCTGTTCGCCCGCGCATTATTCAACGTCGCCGGCGAATGCTGCACATACGCACTACTATCCCCATCCCCATCCCTGCTCGCCGCCGCCGATGACTTCCTGGGCGACCCACCGGCAGCAGCAGGATAAATCTCGCTCTTTAACGGACTCGGCTTCACGGGGCTGTGCTGCCTAATCAGCCTATCCGCCAAGTCTCTCTGCTCCAGCGCCGCCATCTCGCGGCCGTTGCGGGGCGAAGGCGCGTCGGTGCCCACGCTGGCTGTTCGCTTGAGTGGGGAGTTCATGTGCTGGTACACGCCAAGACTGCCGCCGCCGCCGCCTGCTGCTTTACGTGGTGGGTAGGGGGTGGTGCCGGCGTGGGCGACCTGTCTCTTGCTAGGTGTTGGGCGGGCGGTCATCGAGATGGTCGAGGGGGTGTTGCCGTAGCTGTTTTGGCGGAGGAGGGTCGTCGGGGTGCGAGTAGTAGTGGTGGTGCTTGAAGAGGTTACTGATCCGAAACTGGGTCGGCCGGTGGTGATGGGTGTGTAGGGTCGCGCCGCGGGAGTCGAAGCGTCGGTTTGTGTTAGTTCTCTGCTCTGCTTGAGGACACCGTCGGGGTCGAAGTGTTTGGAGTAGTTTGGGTTCGGATGCGTTTCGAAGCCGCGGCGGATGATGGTCGAAGGGGTGCCGATAGCTACCGATTCTTCTTCCAAAACGTCGTCGACAATCGAGACCTGGGTCGCTACCTCGCGGTAAATAGGGTACACCCGTGGGTGCACGTACTTGATGTCGTATTCGTGCATGACTTCGCGGTGGATGATGTTCATGTCCTTGGATTGCTGGGTGAAGCGGGAGGTCAGGAGGAGCATCTGAGCTGTGAGGAGGAGCTGGAGGATAAGGATTTTGAAGACGGTCACGCTCGGGCGCGGGTCGAGGGCTGCCAAGGGGAGGAAGAGCATGTAGATGAGGACATGGCCGGGACTGAAGAGGCAGAAAATACGCAATGTTGCCGGGTACGGATCCCAAACGGCCACCTCCCAGACGTCGCGCGTCTTGTCGGGATGAGCGCGCGCCTCGGCCGATTCGCCTTTTGCAAAGTTTTGAAGATATCGAAGGGGTGTTGGGGTGGACGGCGAAGAATCGACTCGGACACGGTGCGCGGAAGGGGTTGAAGGGCCTTGAGCCTCGACGTTCGCTTCGAATAGTCGGTAGTGGCGCGATCGGGTCATGGTGTAGAAGGCATTGAGACCAGAGATGGGCATCAGGGCCCAGATGAGGAAGTTAATCTGTCGCATGCAGTCAGAATATCGTTCACTATGCCGTATAGGTCCCTCCTAAAAGTAGTGAAGCCTAACTCACCAATGCCTTTGTAAAGCCGCTGGAGGGAGCATCCGAGAAGACATCATCGTCGACAAGCCCTCCACTAATGTTTGCGTTCGCTCTCGCAAGTAGGAAGAGAACATTCGCAATCAGACCAAACCAAGTGCCGAAAGCAGTCGAGTCCCAATCGAAGCTTTGGATTTCCTCCGAGATCCAGATATAAAAGTCCATAGGGTTGAGAAAGGCCTGTATCCGCTCGGATAGCGGGCGTCGGCGCACCAGGCGACGAGGTGTTGGAGGCATGTTTGGATTGTGATGATGACGATATTGTTTGGTGATGACAGATTGCGACAGCGCAGAATCGATGTTTGGGGCCGCCTTCCCACTCGGTGGTGTTTTGGTAGAAGATACGAGAGGATTGTGCGCAATGATGTGACGGTGTTGCGCAGTCCTTAGTTGTGTATCGTGTGGTGAAAGGGCACCGGGTTGTGCCCGGATTGGTTCCAAGGTTGGTCAAAGAATGATGATTTCTTTTGTTTACTTTTGCATTTGCGTTGCTCGGGACGCGGATCGAGAAATGGATTGGAAGCTCTCCCTCATGGAGATTGACCCCGGTCGCAGTCAAAGTTCAACCAGTGGCGGGCGAGGCGCAACCGAGAATTTAGTGAGCCCCAGCTGTGTCAGTGGAGTTTTTAGAACCTGGCATTGCTGAAAAGAGGGGTCGGGTGGGTTTGGCTGTGACAGCGGAGCTGCTAGGTTTAGCGCGGACTGTTGACTGCGAGTGGAGCCCAGTTGGATCCAGTGCGGGCTGCGGCTAGGTTGGTCAGAGCTCCAGTCCGTCCCGTCATCCTGGAGTACCTGGATGGACGACGACAGCCGACGTCGACATCAATCGATACGACCGCAACCGCAACCGCAGGCAGGCTTCGACATTCCCTACCGACGCTAATACAAACACACATTTCAGAAGATTTATTCAAGTTATTACCAGTCACTCAAGTTTCTATTGTCGCATAGCCCTCGTTCCCCGACCGATACCCGACCCAGCCTATCATGGCAACTTCCCAAGCAGACGCTAGGGACCGTCAGTTCCTGGCTGTAATTGGAGACGAGGTGAGTGTGATTTTGCAACTAGGTCTATATCTGTCAAGGAGCTAACAATTATCTAGGACTCCGTCACGGGACTCCTCCTTGCAGGCATTGGCGTAGGTTCCCGTATGGTCCTCGGATGATATGCGGTAGCTGAGTTCTAATACGCACTCGAATCGTAGCACGTTACGGCTCCCCCTGATTCGCAAAAGAACTTTCTTGTGGTGGACAACAAGACGGATAACGCTGCTATCGAGGCGGCCTTTGAGCGCTTCACGACCGAGAGGAAGGACATTGGCATTGTTTTGATTAACCAACATGTAAGTGCGGGTCTTGGTTCAAAGGGGGGCTTGTGGGGAGATATTTCTTAGTATTGACAATTCTGGATGAAATGGGTAACTGACGTGGAAGACACAGATTGCTGATAGGATACGGCACCGAGTCGACACCCACACCGCGGCCTTCCCTACCGTTCTCGAGATCCCGAGCAAAGACCACCCTTACGACCCCGAGAAGGACAGTGTTCTCCGCAGAGTCCGTCGTCTGTTTGGTGAATAAATGTGTTTGCCCAGTTGAGCATGGACATAACGAACGGGGAATGATACGGCATGATGGAAGGAATGGAAGCAGTCAGGTTCATGGGGGCATAGCGGAATCAATGTGCCCACGACATCACAGCGGCGGCGCGCAATGCGGGAAACTTAGAATACCTATAAAGAAGCAGAACGACGGGAATGTTTCCTCGGAAATGGTTACGCCTAAGCATGTTTAAAGGCAGAAACAGTCTCAAAAACCAACTACTAAACGCGAAAAACTCCAGTACTACCAAAGCAAAACCCATACAAATGCTGTTGCCGTGCAAGTGCCATCATCCGATTCGGTGCCAAGAATGAGTTCATTAATCCATCATGCGCAGTATTCATCCAAGGTTTAGATTAAACATGCCATATCCGTTGTTAATCGTCAAATCCGCTCGCTCTTCACCCAGATCAGAGATCGTCAAGGAAGCCAAGGGTCTTGCGACCAAAGAAGACGGTGGCGGTCAAGCAGGTGATGTGCTTATCGTCGCTGTTGTAGACATCGGCCTCAACAGTGTACTTGCCCTGTAACGATCAAACCGTCCATGTCAGCGAATATTCCCAACAACAGCAGCAGTAGTGAGAGAGGGGAATTGGGCAATAAAGAACGTACAGGTGGGATCTCCTTGGGCAGCTCAACGTTCTTGGTAATCGAGAGTCTGCCCTTCTTGATGGGGCATTCGAGCTCCACGTTCTTCATCTCCTTGCACAGGTCGGCAGAGGTGTTGATCAGGCGGATGTAGCCATACTTGACTTGCAAGTTGACGTATGCCCCTTCCTCGATGGCCTCCTTGACAATACCAGACGCCTCGATTGTCAGGGTCTGACCGCTGTATGTGACAAACCATTAGCTGTCTGTTTCTGAACATGGTGAAAGACATGTGACATACGCCTCAGGAGGGTTTGGTGTCAATATGACCTCCTCGATGGTAACGATGTCATCTTTGCGATCGGCCGCAGCGTCACAGAACCTCAAGGGTGACTTTCCGGGAACATCGAGTTCATCGTTGGCAGAGACGCTGTTCTCGCGATAAACGCTAAAAGCAGCCGCGCTCGTGGAAAGGAGAGCGATGACAGCTGCGGAAAGCCTCATGGTGAGTGATGGTAGCGATTTGTCACGGTCGGTGTTCGGCGCGGAGATGTGTTATGGAGACCCTGGAGAGGATGGGACGTGGTTGAGAAAGCGGGGAATATAAACGCTGTCCACCGCCGAGACAGTTACCGACAGTTCGTTGTGTTGAGTTGCGGGATGTCGGCCACAGGGATCTCACGAGTCAAATCGGAATGGCAGTTGTTTACAAAGATGGATGTCGTCGTAGATGGAGACTCCAAATGATACCTCTGATACCAGGAACGAAACAAGCCACAGCAACTGGAAGCGGAGGCAGTCAACTGATGGCGAGCGAGATAATGGGCTGGCGTGACTGGCTGGGTGAGGTTGATCCTGGCTACGCAACCAACCTGCATCAGGAGAGATGGACCTCCACAGGAGGTCACTGGTTGGCCCAGTCGTAAAAACACACGCAAACACTCCCGCTTTGGCACTCTGCGCAGGCCTCTCACAACGGAACAAGCGAGAGACGTCATTGGGGCATGACGGCGAATGGCGGGTTCGTTTTGCCCCAGCCTGCGGCCACTTCCCCAACTTTCTTTTGTCTCGTTTACCTAGTCTTATCATGTGAGTCGGCGCGGATCCACTTATATGTAAACTGGACCAATCACGACTATTGAGCTACTGCGGCAGCGCCGTTTCTGAAGCATTGAGTTCTTGGTTCCCAGCTCCTGTCGAAGGATCTTTCGACTTTCATTGCTGGGACTGGGAGTGACGAGATGCCATATCGGTTGCCCATTCTCAGGGTACGTATACTACACTCAGCGCACTGAACGACACATAACGCTATTTTTTGTTTTACTGATTAACATCCTTTTGTGCCTTCGCGACATGACATATGGGCGTGCTTTTTAAAACCCTTCACTTTACGTAGGGTTCGCTTATAGTCGGAACCCTGGTCGTCAATTGTGCTATGTATTTCGAACATGGCGTTTTTACCAAACATCGAGATCAGACAACAAACCGACGGACTGACCGAAATCGCATACGTAGTGCTTGGAACTCAAACATGGATTTCCTAGACTAAGTTTCGGGAGCGTTGGGAAGTTGGGTTGTCCCTCCGTGACAACTTCGGCTATGGGGGCCGTTTCGTTGCGATAGTCCTGCCGAAGCTGCCATCATTGATACGCCTTTGTGCAAGAAGTTCATGTCGCCCAAGAGATACAGTTTACAACAATGGTTGGAGTCTTGGAACAGCGGCCATGTTGTCGCGCAAACTGGAAAGCAGATAGGCAGCGTATCTCTCTGGCCTCGGGCAGATGTCAGACGCACTGATTCAGGCTGGGTCAGGGATTGTTGATATCATATGTGTTTCCGGGCGTATCACTGAAACGGGAATGATCGGGACGAAGAGTTTCGCTCAGTCGTTCGGCGGCTTGCAGTCGTCTTCATCGGTTTCGGGGTTGTTGGACGAGGTGATTATGCAATATGTCAAATAAGTTGTCGGACAGCAATCAAAGCCAGAGGTGCCTTTTCACACAGGAGGTGGAAGACAGAAGAGAAAAGAAAAGAGGAAATAAAGCCCAAAGGGCAAGCGAGTGAGTTCGTGACGGACGGGTGTATTAAATGGAGAAGGGGAAATAAAAAGGAGCAGATTGCAGAGTTTCATGTGAATGGCTGCGCCTGGTTGAAGGGTCCCACCGTCCAACGTGATGAGATCATGAGAAAGACATGACAACATTGATTGGAGCGAGTATGTAGCAACTGCAGCAACGCCGAAGCATTGCAGCCACACCTTTGTCAAACTAGAAACCCACTTTGTACGAATAAGCACTAGTGTCAACACTGCTCACGGCTTCGATGATTCGCTCAACTCGACGCCCACCAGCCAGCCAACCAGCCGTTTCCCAACACTCAACAGTGCGACCGAAGTGACCTTGTCCGAGGTTGAGCATGGGCGCGCGTAGTGTAGATCGGAGCTGGCTTCCAGCAGAAGACGGATCGTCGAACGACATGCAAAGCGCCATGATAAAGGACATATCTTATCAATCGTGGACATTGAAGAGGACGGAATTCAAAGGCGGTGCTTATCGAGATATTCTTGGGTTCAATCGCTGTGACATTGGCTGTTTGTTGGACGGCGGTTGCGGTTGGATGACACCCACCACCTCGAATCTCCGACGCTCACCACTCATCTTCGTCCTAGGCCGAACAATAACTGGGGCGCGGATGCACGCCCCTAAAAACAGGAGTTCACAGTCCTGGGGCTTTGAACGCAATCTTTCCAAGAAGCAGACATTCCAAAAGGCTTCGTCCTTATGTTGAGACGCATCCGTCGCTCTTGAACGGATTGTCACCGGCGTCAAGAATGCAAAATATAACACGATATTCGACCCGAAATACCATGCAAGGCATGTACACTAGGTATAGAGAAAGTACTGACATCCAAACCCGCGTTCTTGTCATTGTCGCTGCTGCCAACATAGCCATGGGCTTTTCCCGTTTCCGGAACACAACCCCGTTTCTGTTGCCCGCTGTGGTTATCATCCAGTGAGCCCAGGTACCTGACCTCCTAACCTACCACCACCACCACGGTAGATTGATTTCCGCGACGCGGGTCCTAGGGTTGTCCACGCTCCGAGGTGCTGCATCACGTCTAGGTACCCCATCTCCACGGGTAGGCCTCCATAACCCACGATAGGTGGCCATTGCGCAAATAGCCTTAATGAACCGCCGTACAAGTCCGTTCTGCCTTCGGCCCTCGCGGCGCGCCTTTTCGTTGATGGAACCCTTCGGCTTTCCACCTTGCACAGTCGCACGCACCCCGCCCCGGCCTCTTTCCACAGTCCCTTCCCTCCGCTTCGTGGTTTCCTTTCAGGCCCCCTCCTCCTTGTCCCTCTAAAGACCCCTCCACACTGGCTGGCTGCTCGATCGACAATTCAGCATGCAAACATTTCAAAGCTGCATGCTTTTGCTTCATACCATGTCGCATATCAGTCACAGTACTGACGTTTCTTAGCATTTTCATTTCCTACTCTTCTCCGCTGCCGTGAGCTTAGTGGCTCGGGCCGGACTCTTCGGTTGCGTTCTTTTTCTTCGTTATCATATGGCGGCTGATGCCGTGGGGACCTTTTTTTTTTTTTTTTTTCGATCGCAACAAAACAGCCAAGCGTCGCCTACAAAACAGCTGCTTCCTTGGTTGATGGCCCCCGCCCATAGTGGCTGCTGCGAGCTACCAAGGCAGTCTAGAAACACATCGGGCAGAGTAGAAAGTGGTTGCGCTAACAATTTCCCGAGACCCGCTGGGTACCGTAGGGCGAAAAAGACACGCAGCAGAAGTGCGAAACAGCTGAGCGAAACACAAGCTGGAGAGCAGAACCAGGAATCCAAGGAAATAAGACCGCCGGCAGCACGTCCACAGTCCACTTGCAGCTTTTATGTCGCCCGCACCGAGGACGCTCACTGCACACAACCTAACAAGGCCCAAGGACAAGCCAAGAACTGGACAGGTTCCGATTTGGGGGAAGGCCTGTGCCACGGAAATTTCCACGGCTGCCGTGGGCTGTTTCGTCTGATTGGCCCGTGCTCCTGCTGAGCACTGCAGCGTCCCTCCAGTCTTGCCCGTCCTGGGGGGGGTGCCCGTGGTTACTCTTGACCTACTGCCCGCCTCTGCCCTTTGCACAAGAGAGAGCGTGAGAGGGCCACGCATTGGCAGTGGCTGAGGTCAGTGGTGAGTTCCCCCGGTCCCGGTCGCCGTCCCGGGCAATTCCCATTCCCATTCCCACTGCCACCAAAACGAAAGGTGCGCAACGAAGAGAACTTGAAGCACCTCAGCTGCAGTGCTGCGACCGACTGCGACAGGCGAGACTGCGAGTGCAGCCCGCCCGCCTTCCTTCCCGTCTTCTTCCTTTCTGAGATGACCCCCAGAGCCAGACACTGCCAGAGCGAGGGGCCCCAGAGAGGGCCGCCCGCGCGGGCACGGCAGTGGACAGAGCGATTGCAACCAGCACCACGCCAGCGCCAGTCCAGAGTCAGACCTGAGTGAGAGTGCAGGCAGGACAGACTTGAGAGGGCAGAGGGCAGAGTTCCCAGAGTGCGAGTGGGCCCCCCTCTCTCCCTCGCACTTCCACTTTGCACTCGATTTCCCATTCCTCCCGTCCCCTTCCACTTGAATTCTCTGGTCTCTTTCTTGGATCTCTTGCCCCCCCTTCGTTTCCGACACCTGCCTACCTATTCATCTCTCGCAACAGTCTTGATCAGGTTCGAACCGACTTTCCATTTTCGCGCACACACGACGCTGCCCGGCCGACTTTACCTTTCTTTCGTTCCTCGCGGCGCAATCTGTTCCCTTCTCGACAAATCCATCTCGTCGTCGTCATTCACCACTGCGTTTCTCCTCGCTTTTGGGCTTGACGCTCGCCACTCCTCCTGCGCAGAAGAACACGATCCAGATCCCGAGAGCGACCTCAACCTGACGCCCGACCTATTCCTCTTCTGCAGACTTGGTCTTTCAATCTAGGCTTCGACAGTGATTGACGCCGCCTGGGCTCTCTCCTCAAATCCTCGAATTCGACCTTCGTCATCAGTTCCGACGTGTCCTTCCGCCCGACCGAGCGTTCCGCTGCCGACTTTTAACCCTGGCTAGTCCATACGACAAACGGGCAATATAATCCAAGGCTGTCTCCCAACGGATGAAAGCCCCGGCTTTTTCGTCAAGTTGTGCTCGTCTCTCTGGTCAGAATCAATTGCGTTGGACAGCGCGCCAGCATGCCCTTCGACCTAGAAAGATAACCAGTCAACAACACCCTCCCGATACCCTACCGAAACCGCCGTCCCGAGGTCTTTCCATAGATTATGACCGACAAGCTGCCGTCACTGCTGACGCCAATCGCGCCTCCTAGTCGGACTTCATTCTCCGTCTCTGCTGCCGTTCCTGTCCAAGATGGTATACGAGCGCAGGAGAATGTTGAGGAAGAGCCGTACACCATCAGGTGTATCTGCAAATACCCCGACGATGACGGAAACACGATCTACTGTGAACTATGCGATACGTGGCAGCACATTGAATGCTACTACCCCCACAACTCTGAGGATGCTCTCCGCGATCCAGACTTTGCACACTTCTGTGTTGAGTGCCAGCCAAGGCCCTTGGATCGGGAACGAGCCAAAGAAAACCAGAGGCGCAAGCTTACAACAGGCGTCACTGAAGGAATGACAGACAAGAAGAGCAAGCGTCCTCTCTCAAAGAGCCACAAGAAGAAGCCGAAACCGAGCGACCTGCCATTGACTGGTCAGCACTCGAAAGCCGAAAAGCAAGCCAGCACGCAGGACAGCCATCCTCCAACGAAGAAATCGAAAAGCTCGCACAAATCTAGTCATTCGGTTAGCTCACAGGCTGCGAAACGCAGTCCACAATTCGGTAGCACCAAGTCCAACCATGCTCATCCTCCTAGTCCTGCGGCGACGCCACCTGACCTGCCTGCCGACTTTGAGATACATACCTATGCCCCTGCGTTGCTATCCGGCTCCAGCGACCGAGGTGTCGAGATTGTACATACCAACAGTTTTGCTAGCCTCCAGGTGTCAAACGCCATCTCGGCTTGGCTACGAGACCACAACAAACTCCAGAAAGAGACGGGTTGGGCCTACGCTGACATTTTTCAACCTCTACCCCCAAATATTGATCAGCTAAAAAGGCCAGTGGATATTGAGCTTTCACGGAAGACACTCGGTCAAGGCACCGTCGCTTCTTGGAAGTGCCTCAAAGCGCCATCGGCTATTGCTCATAACGTCCCTCTTGTGGAACTGAATGGGCAGATCGGTATTCAGAGCAGTTATTGCGCAGATCCCGATAGCCGGTGGCAAGAGCTGACGTCCCCGCTTCCTTATGTCTTCTTCCACCCCATGCTTCCCATTTATATCGACACCAGGAAAGAAGGATCCCAGGCTCGCTATATCCGACGAAGCTGCAAGCCTAATGCCATGCTCGAAACATATCTTTCAGACGGCTATGAGCTTCACTTTTGGCTTGTAACCGACAGGAAGGTCGCAGCTAGGGAAGAAATCACACTGCCCTGGGATTTCCGATTCCCCAATGAGAATAAGTCACGGATGCTCCGGGTCCTGGGGCTCAGTGACGAAGACACTTCAGCCCACGCCGAGTCTTCTTTGGACGATGGGGAATACCAGGCACTTACGAGCTGGCTGCATAACATCCTTTCCGAATATGGAGGCTGTGCGTGCAACCTTGGATCAGAATGTGCATTCGCCCGCTTCCATCGGAATCATTTGGGCAAATCACAGGCGCCAGCAAACCCACCAAAGACCAAGAAGCGAAAAAGCAAAACACAGAGTTCGTCCACCATCGGCACAGGGCCAGCAACGGACAGTCGAGCAGCTAGTGAAGGCCACCTTGAGGATGCTCCCGAGAATGATCGCCGATCAGTGTCTGGCTCAGCACGGAGCAAGCCTTCAAGCCGAGACCTCACCCCCACGGCCCGCCAGGGATCATTCGACACTCTTGGGATATTAACAGAGCCGACCGATCGGGACAAGCGGAAGGTCTCCATGATCGAAGAGACCTTCCGCCGGATCGAGTTACAGCAACAACCTACCAAGAAGCGGAAAGCACGCGGCTCTGATGCGGCTACTACCTCCAAAAAAGGTAGCAAGAGCAGCGCTACAATCCAGACGACAAATGCGACGAATGGAGCCGACGAACGCCACTGCCACTTTGCCAATGGTGAAACAGCAATTACCAGCAAAGCAACATCACCAGCAGCAAGTGCGAAATCTAGTCGGGTCACCAAATCGAAGAAAACCAGTTCAAGGAAAGGATCTGTTGCCGTCGTTTCCCATCCTGTTCCTGCGCAGCCAGTCCGTTTGCCGTCTCGCCCCAAGTATGCCGATGCTGGTACTCAAACGAACCCCGACACCGAGGCCAACCCTGCACCCTCGCCGGCACGACCGAAAAGGAGGTTGGTTTCGGTCACGATGCGCATCATGCAGCATCATCGCTGGCTGAAAGAGCAGCAGCGCAAGCAACGACTGCTCAATCAGGCGGTTGCTACTGTCCCAATGGATGTGGATACTCCAAAGGACAACAAGGCTGTGGTTTCAGTTGCTGGTTTGGTTCAGGATACAACTTTGAAGCCCAGTGCACCAGCCAAGGCCACCACAAGTGATGTCGAGATGCCCGACGCGCCCACCGTATCAGCGAGTCACTTAAAGGCTACCCAAAGTACTTCTGTCGTTACTGCTCCAAAGAGCAAAGTCTTGGATCTGAGGGTTCCCATGCCACTTGTTCCGCCCTTTCCAAGTTCAACCTCTTTGGCCTTGACCTCTACCACTTCTTTACCTGCAGGGACTTCGGTGGCTCAGTCATCATTTTCCGTTACTGGTCTGCCAAGTCCCCTGGGGCCGTCGTCTATCAATGGTCTGACTGCAAACCCAAGCCCAATAAAGAAAAAGTTGAGCTTGAGTGATTACACCAAAAGCAGGATGAACAAAGCTGCGGCAGCTCGCCCATCGGTTAGCGTGCCCTCTCTGAAGCCCAATGCTGCTTTGGACCAGCCAAAGCTGACCACCAGTGACGACAATGGTGGAGCTGCTTCTGGCTCCCCAACCACGGAAAAGGTGACTGATACGACTGGCTCGACCACAGCCGCTTTGGCCTTGACAACTGCAAGCAGCTCTGTGTAACAAGTATATAGACTAAGGTCTTCCCGTGTATGGATTAATGGTGGAGGATGTTTTCAAGTATTTCTGTTAGCGGCTTCTTACTCAGTGTCAGTTTTGAGACTTGAGTCATAGAACCCCGACATTTGAGCGAAGCAGCCAGGTCGCTGTTAGGTCCGGGCCGATTGCGATATAAAGTTTTATGCTACTTTTACGTTTTTCTCACAAAATGGGTTTGGCGGTTGGTGATATAATTAACGTGGCGTTTGGGATATTTTCTTTCCTGGTCCGGGAAACTGAGTTTTGTGGGACGGCTTCCTTTCAAGCCTTGGAGCCCCGTACTGGTCGGGAGTTTTGTGAAACCGGGTTGGGTTGGGTTCACAGTGGTTGGTCTTCCATGATATGGGTTGGCTGGCAGGTTTTCGGAGGGGGTTATTCATTTTGTCTGTTATGCGTGCGAGGAAAGACAGGAAGAGAAAGATGAAATGATCAAAATGGGAAAAGCGCAACACCATCACGTCACTGGATTTCTTGGTCAAAGTCATTGGATGGGTATGTCAAGGGACATGTCTCAACCCTTTTTTTTCCCTGCCCAATCTTGAACTTCGTTCTCACTTTTTTATCTTCGTTTCCTCTCTTTCAATCCCCCACTTCTTTTTATGATGACCAATGGATGGCTGGACGGATGGATGGATGGATGGATCACGGCTTCTTTTCTATCTACGCTACTACGCTACTCAAGCAATAGTGATAACGCTTTGCCAAGGCAGTTGAGGCACTCATTGAATCTTCGAAATGTTTCAAGTCGTTTACGATACATTTGCTGTATTTTCTCGATTTCGTTGGTCAGAACCTCAGGCATGTGTCTTGATCCAACTTTATGGGCACGGAGAAAACTGGTCATTTTGTCCTCGAAATGTCTTCTGCTCTGTTGTCAGTTAGTCAAGAGGGCTTGGAAAAGGAATACTACTACGAACTTTCTGTACATGACATCCAGTCACGGTATCCCCCAGCCACCTATATATACACGACCAGCCACCCAGCAGTACATGTATAGATATCCTGTTTGCTCGATGAAATGTTGTTGCTAGCTGTTATGTTTACTCGGCTAAAATACATACATAGCTATCCATGTAGCTTCACAGTTCCTACCGTGAATCTCACGTGTATAAAAAATACAAAGTGTCTACCATACTACCTACAAATTCAGTATTCGTATTATGCCTTACCGAGTCTCGGCCGGTTCCAGTTTCAAGACCAAAGATGTTGAGGATGTGTATGTGGTGTTCTATATGCCTCGGGGCACAGGCACAACATACTATGATACTATAGTGTAGTGCGACAATCACACATTTTCTTCTTCTTCTTCTTTTCTGCTAATATAACGGCGAGTCTGAAAGGGTCTGTTTTTTTCCCTTCTTCAGTGACTTGAAGAGGGGCTAACCCGTGGGTGCGACTCTAAACTCGGCACGCGAATGTATGTGGGTAGATATGACGCCGTATTCACTTGGTGTAGTTCAGCTAAAAGAGAAAGAGAAGAGAAAAAAAAAAAGAAGAGAAAAATAGAAGAGAAAAAAAAAAGAAAAAAAAAAAGAAAAAAAAAAAAAGGCTTATCCCTCTTCGAGCGCCCGACAGTGAGTAGGAGAAAAGCAACATGCTTCTTTAAAGAGCTTGACTTGCCGCACCGTTCCTAATGTCCTCGCGCACCTTTTTTAACTTTACGCACCACATGTCAGCTATTATAATTACAAGCCGTTTTCCTATAGAAATTTCTATATTTTTAATATTTCTAAGTATTATAGTGTACTAAATTAAAGAAGGGTGCAGTAAGTCGTAAGGGTGCGCCAAATTATAAGGGTATGCCAAATTATTTAGTAATATTTTATAATATTGAACGAATAATAATCCTTTAATTTCTATAGTAATATTAAAGTTCTATAAGGTTCTTAATTATCGTTTACAATTAGTAGATTACTTAAATCACTACCTAACTATACTTTATGTAAGTCTAGGTCTTTTAAGCAGTCTTCTAATAAGTAAATCTATCTAACCTCCTTATTTACTACCTCCTTCTCCCTCCTTCTAACTGCTACCCGCTTCCTCCAATTTACTATAGCGTAATCTAAATTAATAAAGTACTCTTTCTTAATATTATTACTATTAGTAATACTTAATAGAGAGTTTGGTAGAAAGCCCGGTTCTATTAGAGCAAAGCACTTATAGGAAGTACATACCGGACGGTTAGAGGAAGAGGAAACTAGAATTAGAACTCTCGCTTTACTTTTACCTAATCTTTTTAATCTACCCCTCTTATATTTTAGTAGCTACTTTAGTAATTAATTATTATTATTAATAATAATATACTCTTACTTGTTATTAACGGTATTAGCGGTATCGAAAGCCTCCAAACTAAGACTAAAAACTTTAATTCGAAAATAATTACATCTCGCACTACAAGGGATACAACCACCTCTCTTAATTCGAACTACCCCGCGGGGACCTCAAACTCCCTTACTAATACTATTATTACTAATAATAGGGGTAAAAATAATAGCCTTATTACTAAAGGGACTATATTAATTCTTTAACCTCCCTTTAACAACCGTTTTAATTACTAAAACAACGTAGAAATACTAGTCTTATATATTTAGTACCTCCTTAAAATACTAAAAGGGGTAGTAGTCGATCTTATTAATTAATACTCTCTAGGGATTATCGTAATCGTACCGCTTTAATAATTTATAAGTATATAGTAAGTTATATTAGTTTCTAAAATTACTATAGTAAGAGAGGAGCTCTTAAGGGCGGGGGTTATAATTTAACCGTATTGTACTAAACACTTTTATATATTATTCTATCAATATATCTAGACCCTAATTAAATATTTAAAGTCTATAATTGCCCAACTAACCCTTATATAAATAGTTACGATATACCTGGGTATTAAACGAGGTAATACCCTCCTTATATAAATTATAACGCTTTTAAACAATAGCCTTAGTAATATAGATTATTCTATTAAAACCTGCGCGGACTAATAATCCTTCTACTTTAATACTAATATTAATAGATTCGTTAGGGGAAATAGTCCTACTACCGAAATTAAAATTAATTTTAATATAATAGCCCGCCTACTCTAATTTACTAAATATAAATTCGTCGTCGATATATTTTAATAATTTTAGTTAAGTCTCTCTAAAATTATTATTTATAAACTACTTAATATTAATAAAAACTATTAAATTACCGCTAAATATTATATATTACTAATAAATAAAGAAGACAATTTTTGTCTATATTATTTAGGTAGGTAAGGAGCCTATCTAAACCTTAGTTCTAGCGGTAGTACGTACCTTCTAATACTCTTATTAAAGCTTCTCGAAATTAGAATCGTTATAATCGTCGCTAGAATTATCGCTTTATTTAAATTAAATAGACTAGGGGGGTTAGAGGGAGGAAAACCGTAAAAGAGACTAGAGGGTTAATTAGGGGGGAGACTATAAGCTACGCCTACTTTAGCGGGCACCCCTCCCTCTACCTCTCCCTCTACCTCTATTATATTAAGAACCGTACCCTTAATAACCACCCTCTTTTACCTTATCCCTCTACCAATACTTTTTAATAATAGTAATAATATTATTATTAAAATACTATATACAACACTACTACTATCGACCAAGGAATATAGACTATAAAATAATAATAAACTATACATCTCTATCTATAATAAAGACTTTAGGTAATAAGATCTCTAACTCCTCTATCGCCCCCCGTAACTATTTGAAATACTATTTAAATCCCTCCTCCTCCTTCTCGTTATTAATAAAATATTAAAAGATAAGAGCGGTAGTATATATAAATATAATAATAATATTTATAATTAGCGGTTTATAAAATTTATTAATCTTATAAATAGTATTAATTATTAATATATAGGGATACTACTATTATAAAAATTCCTACTCCTTAAATACTTAAAACGCTAAATAAAATATAGTACTATTATTGTTGTCGAAGTTGGTATTAGTATAAATAACCAACCGGTTACTATCGCTAAACTCTACCTCCTTTTCTAATAATTATACGAAATTTTAAATATTAGTATAATTAATTTACTACTCTTTACAAATACGGAAACGTATATTAGAGCAATCTTTAGTAATAAATAGAAGTTCTAAATATTTATATTCGGCGAACTATTTAATAATATAAATTAAGAATTCTCGTTGGGCGAAGAAACTATAAATATATTCTATTTAATTATTTGTAATAGTAAGACGGACTTTAATAAAAACGGTTATAGAAGTAGTTAGAGGATAATTATAATATTCGAAATTTATAAATATAATAATATAGAGATTTTCGTCGCTAAATACACACTTAAACTTAAATCTAAATAAGTAATTATATATAGTCTTCTTAAAGCTATAATAAAAGCGGATAATCTCTTTAGGGATAGGGTAATCGCGGTATTTAGTATATTCGTATTATAGTTAATTAGAGACGAATTTACTATTATAAGTACAAAATTGCTACTTTATTAACCCTATATAATAATAGTAATAAAAATCGTAGACCGCTTTAATAAACGCCTATTCCTTTATAGGATTAATATAAAAGAATTTATTATTTTTATTAATTAACTATACTAGTTCGTCGGTTTAGGGAAATTCTAATTAACTAGCACTCTCATTATCGCCCGCAATAATATAAAAATTAACTACAAATAAGGATCGAAATAACTATAATACTATAAAGCGGTTAATAATTAATATTAATTATAATATAAATATTTTACTATTAATTATTTAATTAAATATAGTCGGTTTAGCGGGTATAACGGTAATTAGGTTAGGGGTATATAGTTATATAGTAATAAAATATAGCCTTAACTGTATAGGAAAATATCGCATGTTAAAATTATTGAATTTTATTAACATTTTATTAGATATTACATAATATCTCAAAAGTGGGTTTTACTATATAAAACGCGGGACTTTATATATCAGCTATTATCAGTTGGTATATAAGGAAAAAGGGGTACGGGAAGTTAAAATAGGGTGCGCGAGGATATTAGGGACGGTACAGCAAGTTAAGCTCTCTTTAAATTTGT